AGGTCTCTTATGTTTCATCAAAGGAGGAACAAGATGACCACAAGACACATATTTCAGATACAAGATCAAGGCCACATGTCCCAGCACATCAGCCTGGACATTTAATTAGTTTATTATTTAATAGACAGCCGATTAGCTTAACAGGGAAGCCCTCTTATCATACTGCAGGGAGGATACACAGCTTCATATATAGTAGCTCTTCAAGAATTTTTCTGCCTGTCTCTGGCAGAACTTATGTAAAACTGAATCCATTTGTTGACATGACATGCCTTGGAGGTGGAACAGGAGACCTGGAGGCCACCAGCCCACCCTGTGCTCATACCCAAAGTCATGTCCCTCTCTGGGATGTGCCTATTCCAGCAGACCCAGGGTGGTACACACAGCACATCTTTAGGTTCACCCAGAGATGAAGAACTCAGTTGACATATTTGCCATGTAGGGCATCTAGCTGTGTCCACGCTGGGTAAGAGTGAAGCAGTAGAAAGGACTCTTATAGGAAAAGAAGGGTCACCACCACCTCCAGCCAAGACTCCTCGCCATCTCCCCCACCCAACCCCTCTGGTAGCAATTCAGAGCAGTGCAGCAGAGAATAAAGTAAAATAACCCCCATGAAATAACAACTCGCTTCACTGCACAATACTACCGCCAGGGAGAAGATGAAAAGAGAATAAGCCAGCAGTGACAGATGTTACATCTCTTACTGTACTGATACTGATTTTAGGGAGATAAAGACAGCATAAGAAGCCATACTGAACAGAGCAAACCATACATCACCTAAAGCCTTATTCTTCCTGCTTTGAATACAATATTTAAGGCAGAGAAAAAGATCACTGACAAAGATTAACACACTCCTGATCCACCTCTCTTTAGCTTAGCATGAGCCTATTTTACTGCAGGTTTTTTGTTGCTGTTTTAACATCTTCTGCCTCCAGACTACCCGTGACATGCACACACACACAGAAGAGCTATTCTGCCTTTTAGTAACATTTGCCAATGGTTGGTCTTATGGATGACAGGGCTTTTATAGGGCAAATATTCAACATTTGAGTTCTCGTTTCCACTATTCAGTGACCTACTTTATGGAGATGGGGCAGGGGGAGGGCTGCTAGGGGATTACTTCAGGTCCATTTATATAAGATACTCAGGACACAAATCTATGCCTTTCCTAAAAGAAAAATATTCCTGCTAAACAAATGCAATGCCGAGTATGTCAAGAGGCTGGCATGTCCCTTGCACTGCCACATATCCCTTTCCAATCTACTGAAGGGACAGAGGAGACCTAACCATCTCCTTCCTTATGAGGTGACAGTTCCTCCTGCCTTGCCTGGGGACCCCAAGTGGAACCTCATGCATGTCAGGAAGAAAGAATTTTCCCCAGACCCAGCAAACAGACACACGGTGTGGTATTAATATATCTGTGCAAGTCTTGGCATTTGGAAAACATGTTAGTGCCTAGGCCTTATGTTCATAATTACCACAGCAGTAATGAATCTTGATGAGTCAGTAATGACCTTCAATAGCACACAGAAACTATTTCAGCTTTCACTTAATCAGGTAACGAAGTCACACAAATAGGCAGAATTTCTTTTAAGGTGCTAAATAAGGCTGATCCTAAATGCTTTTTTTAATTCCTCTGTTCTGATTTTCCTGAGCATCATAGAACAGTAAATTTAAAAGCTGACATAATTCATCACTGCCTGCAGAAATTGTGACGAGATTATAGGTACAGCCATCTAATGGATGTTTCCAATAAATCCCATCAATTTCCCAAATGATTCCCCAGCAAGTACAGACAATGTAGCAGTTACTGTCTGCCAGACGGGCAATGCATGACTGCACAAATGTCACTGTCCACTTCACCCTGGCAAGCAGGTAACAAAGTTTGCATGCCAGTGCCATCCATCACGCCGAACTCAGCTCTTATCCTCTCAGTTCTTCCCCTGTAAGATGTGCATTAATAAGCCTGAGGAACATGTTTCTTTTGGCCAAAAGACAGGCTGTCCCCTTGTCCATGAATCCATTGATTAGTGTTTCCGCTCCTACAGTCTTCATGGGATAATTGAGGCAGGAAGGGAGCTCAGGAGGTCTCTAGTCTAAGCCCCATCTCAAAGCACAGCAGATATGAGGTCAGGCCAGGCTGCTCAAGGCTTTATGAGGTCTTCAAAACTTCCTGGGATGGGGATCCCACTATGTCTCTATTCTCCCCACTTGGATGTCCTCACAGGGAAACACTTGCTCCTTATATTCAGCCTGAACTTCTCATTTCAACTCGTGCCTGTTGCCACTCACCTTCCCAGTACACATTGCTGCAAAGAGCCCAGTTCCATCCTCTTGATATTTCCTTATAGGCAGGAGACAGCTGCTGTTGGGTGTCCCAGGGCTGCCTCTTCTCTAGGCTGGATCCCACCATCCCCCAGTCATTCCTGACCAACTTCATGGTATTTGCAGGACTTGATCCAGTTTGCTGAAAGCCTCCCTTGCATTGGGAGTCCAAAACTGGACATGATCAGCCTCCATTGCTGCTGCTAATGTCCACTCACTGCCTACCGGAATGCTGCAGAGCTGCTCCCTAGCTAGGCAGCCCCAGCCTGTACCACTGCAAGGGAACAGCCCTCCACAGCTCCCCAAACTTACTGCATTACTCCAACACGGTCATTCTGAAGTTCGCTAAAAGTCCATAAAATTGCATAAAATCATTTCAGTAAAATAACTCATTCTGGTTTATACTTTCAAAATTTACCAAAAAGTAAAACATTCAAGGACCCCTGAACAATAACACAAATACAAAATAATTAGCAAATAATAAAATACAAACTAACTAAACTAAATGAACTTAGTGTTTTGTCTCTCAAGGTTTGTATATGTATCTTTTATGTTTCAGGGTGGGACACAGCAAAAGTGAACTGTGTAAACGTTGACTGCTTGTTCACTTATACACACAATCTTTGACTCTTTATCAGTGAACGCAGCTCTTTGCATCTTATTTTCCATACACACTTTATGCACAGTCCACCTCTCCAAATTATGCTTTACCAGTTTGGTTATAAAAATGCTGTAAAAGACTGTGTTGAAGATTTTACAAAAGTCAAGGCAAGCAGCTTTCCTTTCCCTCCCCTTGCCCACAGTCTTTTTTATCACAGCAAGCAAACAGGCTGGGTCAGGCACAGTTCACTTCTGATAATCCATGTTGGCTGTTTCCAGACACTTCCTGGTCCTTCATGTGTGTTGATACGGCTTCTAGGACAACATTCTCCATGACCGTCCCAGGGACTGAGGTGAGGATGACTGGCCTGTACTCCCCTGCATCTATTTCTTCCCTTCTTGGAAGATGAAATTTCATTTTTTCCAGTCTTTGCTGATTCTCCTTAAGTCACTATGGCTTTTAAAATAATAAAGTAGCCTGGAAGTGACACTGGTCACTTCCTTTAGATACCTCCTATTCAGTCCCATGGGCTTATATATGTCCACTTTGCTTAAGTGGCCCCTAACTCAATCACATGGCTATACTTCCCAGCTTCTATCCAAACCAGAGGTCAATCCTGCCGCCTGATTGAGGTAGGAGATTGATCCTGCCTCAATCTCCCTCCCTGAGGCTTGAACCATGACACAGGGAGATCCTGCCTCATCTCCCTGTTGTATATAACATTTTTCATGAAACCCTTTAAGTGGGCAAACCCTCCAGATTCATGTCAGAAGTGATGCGGTGCTCAAGTGGGATATCATACTGAAGATGGAGGGCAGGATCTTCTTTAAAATATAAATGATAACTTACCATGAAAGTTGTAAAAGAGCTGTTACTTGCAAAGTATTAGTGATTTAAAATTTGGAGAACAGAACTGTGGATATACTCGTTGAGGCAAAAGTGCCCATTTAATCTTTTTGAAAAAGTAGAAAGCATATATTTGAATGTGTGTGGTAAAAAGCGGTCAGAAGATGTCTATTAAACATTTTCCTTCCATGCTATAAAAATGCTTTCCAATGGTGTTCTTTGTTGTTTTCTAAACGACATGCACAGCGTGCCTCATCCCAGTGAATAACAAGCACAATCTGAGGAAAAGCACAGCAATGCTTCATATAAAAGACAATTTGGATACTAGATATAATACTGACACTATTCTGAAAACAGAATGCCTTTTTTTTTTTTTTTTATCCTTCTCTATAGAAATCGACCAGCAACAAATCATTTCTTCTTGGCTGCAACTAATTTTTGGCAGAAAATAAATTTTGCATTCAGAATGTTCTCCAGTTAGTTTTATTAACATGGACTACCTCAGTTACTAAAGTCAACTACTGGGGGAAAAAGTCAATGAAATCTATTGGTTACAAACCAATAGATTAGTAACAAGATAAAGACATGAAGGCAATTACTACTGTGTTACATATTCCTACTCCAGAGTAAAAATATTCATTATGAGTCAAAGCAATAGCCAAGGCTTTAACTCATCAAAGAGAGAGACATTTCAATCACTGATCTAGAAATTCACGTAATAAATACCTTAAACTTTCTGCCTACTTGGAATAGCATGATTCAACAACACGCAATATGGAATCTTAAAGAAAAAATTGCTTCTTCCTCCATACTTGGTACTTGCTGTAGCTGGATGGATTCTGTTTGGTTAACACAGCACCCTCCTGTTTCTCCTTGTAATTTCCTACTAGCTATTTTTCATGACTCTGGATGACTTGAAGTCTTAAATAAAGGCCAAAGTCCTTTTTGAAGTCTTAAATGAAAGCCAAAGTCCTTTCATAAAAGCAGTAACTTTTCTGACAGGAAAAGAGAACATGTCTGGGTAAATCAGACACTAATGTGTTCTTGGGAGAGTGCGCTAAATGCCACTTTCAGGTTTCTGTCCTTTAATCAAAGCAGCTCAGCCCCTTGATCTAGGATCTGCTTGGATATCCTTGTGGTGAGAACTGTTCTGTGTATGCACCTTTTTCCCTGAGAAAGACATAGGCTGCCTATATTGAAGTTAAACTGACATGAAAGAAAGCCTCCTTACCTGTACTGCTGGAGATGTTGACATCAATGCTGATATCTGATATGCCACCTCCCTTCAGAGATGCAACACACGTGTACGTCCCAAAGTCAGTAAATTTCAAGTCAATGATGTCCAGGTTTGTGGTGCCAGGTGAAACATCGGGGTCAGTCTGTGTAATGACCATCCTTTCAGAGCTTCGCAAGGGACGTCCATTCTTAAACCAGCTGAACGTAAGCTCTTCAGAAGGGATGGCTTCTACCTGACAGGAGATTTTCACCTCTCGCCCAATCTGGATGTTGTCATCTTTGTGATATGGGTCAGGGGTAATCCAAAAACGTCCCTTTTTTAAGGCTAAAAAAAATGCAAAAAAAAAAAAGTTACTATAATACAGTATGATTTATGCATGTTCAAACTTTGCAAAGACTTACACTCAAGTATCACTTTATGCCTACATATGATTTTAACAGGGTCTGCATCAACAGGACAAGGGGTAATGCTTTTAAACTAAAAGCAGGGAGATTCAGCTTAGATATAAGGAGGAAATTTTCTACAATAAGAGTAGTGAGGCACTGGCACAAGTTTCCCAGAGAAGTTGTGGCTGCTTCATCCCTGGCATTGTTCAAGGCCAGGTTGGACGGGGCTTTGAGCAATCTGGTCTAGTAGAAGGTGTCACTGCCTATAGCAGTGGGGTTGGAAATGTATGAGCTTTAAGGTCCCTTCCAACCCCATTCCATTCAGCGATGCTCGGGAAGTCACTGAAGCTTCTAATGCACACATTTAGCACATGGTTCATTTTTTGTGGGATCAAATCTTAATCAAATACCATCACAGAGTATACATTGCTAAAGTACCTGTCATTTCCAAAATGAAAAATAGGAACTCAAAGCACCTAAATTAGGCTGAGCTGCTAACAACTGAAGAGCAACCAAAATAATTAATGAACCTTCAGTGTTTGTTACCTGTCTCCGGCTATATTTACAAGCCCTTCTTCACCCCTGCGCTACCAGAGCACCGAGAAAGGAGAAAATATAGATATCAACCTAACATCACTAATACAAACAGTAGTGTCATCTCCAGTCTATCTGGCAACAAACACAGCCATGCAAAATAGCTCTGTGCCACCTGATTAAATGAGAATAGATAAGCACATGCCTGAGGCTACAGCCTGCCCTTGTTTACATAACCTGCTCCTTCCCTGTTGCAGCTGGGAGGACTCCCTCCATCCCATAGCTGTCTGTATGCAGGCTGCCTTACCCCACCAAATGGCAGACCAGTGGTGGCCAACTGCATTGCCCTATTTAGGTGGGGAAATGGCTGCCAGTTCTAAAGCGTAAGGGGGCTGAAAGTACATCTTTAAGGCAATGGTCAATGGCAAAAGGCAAAAAGATGCTCTTCTGAGATGTAAGCACAGAGGAGAACCTATCACGAGCATCTTGCTTGCTCTTCCCTGGCTGGGTCTTGCCAGATGAGGAAAACCCATCCCATGCTCACAGGAGAAACCTGAGGTGAAGGTTGCACACACAACTGGGAGAATAACACTATAATCTGGAGAAGCACAGTATATCCCAAGGATCTCTATCTGCATCCAAAACTATTCAAGCCTACTACACAAACTTAATTAATTCCCTAAATTCTCTAACCCACAGTCAAGCAGAGACAAGATAGTCAAAATGTTTCAGATGGGAATCCCAAGGCAAATGAATTTTTTGAGGCAATCTCAAACACAAGTCCAGCATTCAGGAGTACCCAACAGCCATGCGGGGAGAGAGCAACCCTGGAAAATCTTATTTCCTACCATCTTCCTGGCAAGACCAACATCTTTTTCTAGCATTCCTTCATCAATCTACTGCACAGGAGCAAAATAATACTGCAACTCTGATTTTTCTTGTCACTCTTTAAATAAGCAGGAAACTATCCAGAAACTATCACCATTTACATCAATAAAGTGACTGCTCTAAAGCAGTGTTGCTATGATACTTATTTTTGGAAGAGTGCTTCAGAATCTGCCATTAAATCTTTCAAATACACACATATTTGATGTACTGGATACAAAATGCCACTTATACAATCACAAGATCCCCCTCCCCCTATATATATATATGTGCATAAGTATGTATGTATGTTAAATATATGCTATATCGAACTAGAAAGTTCCATAATGAAAATACCAGTTAGAAATGTTACAAGCAAAAATACCCAGGCTGAATGCAAGCACTGAATGCAGAAGTTTAAACACATCATTTCTTGATGTCATGCTGACTTCTGCTGAAGAGTTTCCCACATTGCCCTTTTTTCCCCCACCCACTCTCTGCCCCCAACCATGCACAGTGCACCGCATGTGCAGCACTCCTTTCTGTCCACAGATACGCTTACAGCAAATGAAGTCTGACACTGTTACAAATGGCAAAGCCTATAAGCTGAAAATTTCCCTGGATCCCATACTTTGGGTAATACATACTTTCTGCTTGCTGTGTACAGAAAGTGTAACAACATCAAATAGAAATAGATGTATGGAGGCACCAAGCAAGAAAGCACAATGCATTGGCTCCTTGCATTTCTACAAGTGCTGAAAATGCTAATTCAGACACAATTTTGTTAGTACATAGCTTGTTGAACAACTCTCTGGAGCTTGCAAATGCCTTGCTGAATTAGCACTTTCACAACTTTGAAAAGAACTAACATTTAATCAATAATTTGTGGGGGTTTTTTTGAGTGTGGGAAAAGCAGCATGAAACTGGGCTACTTGTGGACAACCCCTCACACATGGTGTGAGGAACTTCTTCCACTGAGGAATGCAGCCCTTTCAAACAGAAGATGAAAAAAATGCTGTATTTGCTGTGCTGGTCAGGTATGGCATGAAACACATTTGTCTGGGTGCTGTCATTTAGTTGTACCTGTGTATTTAAGAATCCAAGTTGTTGATGTGTTCTTAAAAACTTATTATTTCATTTAAGAAAGTTTCATGACTTCTATTATGATTAAATTTTTGCACCAAGATGCACTTCACCATAAAAGAGTCTTCACCAAGGGCATCTCGCTCCCTTTTTAAAACTGCAGCTGGATCCCCAGGAAGCAGAATGAACATGTCTTGGATTCACGAGGATGAACCATACATTATATGACAGATGGAAACAGCCACAGCAAGTAACTTTGAAACTCAAGCTGAACTTTCTTGTTTGAAAATGGAAGAACAATGTTTACATACACAAACACCAGTAAATATATTAAGCAAATAACTTTCAGACAGGGAAATAAACCCCACAACTCAATAGGCATGATGAGCAACACATTTAAACCAGAATTAGTTGCTAATAATCTCAATAAACTATTTTTATTTCTGATTATTTCTTCTTTGTATTGAATGCTCATACAGACATTTCAGCAGTTTCTCATTCTTATAAAGAAACAGAAAGGTCTAATGGAAAAGTCACATCAACTGTCTGTCCTTTGTTACAACTAGTGCTACAATACTGTCTGCAAGCTAAGATAAAGGGTGTATGTTCACATGGCTTCAGAGACACTAAGAGGTTTGGTTTGGGGGAAGGGAGGAAGAAAAGGAATAGAGCAAAGCAACTTTTCCCTTCACTTCAGAAGTTCTAGAAACTTCCTGAACTTTTCCATGTAGTCACCTTTCTCCTCTGAACTCCTTTTATTTGGATGTATGGAAAAATACTTAGCTCAGGTGTATGTTCTGCACAGTTCTTTTGGTGGATAGATTTTTCTGTAGCAGGTCAGGACAGTGGATGATCAGAGACAGGATGGGCTGGGATGACCCTGCTCAGGCCTTTGAACAAAACGTTATTACAGCAATGAAGGGCCCAGTTAAGCTAGTCTCAGACCCAGAACTAACAGCGTTGCCCTTGACAAAATGACCTGGGGTCAGTAGACCTCTCCAGAGTGACTGCCTTCAGCAGTCTTGGGAATACAAAGCTGTTTCTTGCAGGCAAGTTGTAGAGTCTTAGAAACACATATGCTAGATGTGGTCTCCAAGAAGACTTCAGACCTGACTGATTTACATTGTGTGTGTCCTCTTGGGAACACCTGAGTTGAGCCTGGTAATGGAAAAGTGATTTCTCTATGTATTCTGCACACAGGTTTGCATTCACGCTCAATCTCCATAAAACAGTGGTTTGGATTATCCCCATGTGTAAGTCCTTGGACCATAATTTCCAGACATCCCCCTATATACTATGAAGTATATTGAAATCTACAAAGGATTCTGACTCTCACTTTTCACTGTTTTATCAGTTATGTTTCAGACATCATTTGCAGGTTTCCATGGGGTTAGATATTGTGAATAAAAGAAACACAAGGTTAACCAACAAAATATGTGAGATGGTGCTGCAGACATGCTAACCACAACTGCTTCCCAACAGAATATAAGCAACACACAGGGACAATAAAATAGCAGCAAACTGTATGAGACTCAGGAAAGCACCAGCCTTTCTCCAAAGAGGCCCCAAAGAGCAATGATTTGATTGAATAAACAAAGATGAAACAATTTTTGTCCTCAAATTCCTTGCAAAATTGTCTTTGCCCTCCCTCATTAATTACATTTCAAAGTAACAAAACTCATTTCATTATCTCAACTAAGGCCTATTTGCACTCATCAGGTTAAGCTGTATCTTCCGAT